AAAAAGGGATTTGGGACTGGAGCAATTTAGGACAGGAAATTTAGAGTCGGGTGACTTTCTTTGATACGATCCAGGACAGATTGTTTTCTAAAAACAGTTTGTGACCCAGAGCCCAATAGGGGAATTAACCCCTCCTTTGGACCTTGGTTTTGCCAGTAGGGAAAAACACTTCAATTCATTAATTCTTGAGTTTAATGATGCTGCTTGGGTGGGCGAGTGATCACAAATCACTCAGTTTTAATATATCATGGAATTCCCTAATAATGGCCATTCAAGTCTCCCTCCCAACTGCGCCCACATTTCGCTTGGCTGAATTTCTTAGGACTGAAACAAAATTACCTTAGGTGGTGGCAGCCCTGGAATTGACCTGACTAAGGTCCAGGGATAGGTGGTGATGGTTGCCGATATGATGACTTTCAGGCATAGTTCTAGCTGCTCAGTCAAAATTTTATGTTGGTTCCAAACAGGGGAAATCAGAGCAAAACAAAAAATGATCCTAAACTGGTCCCCCCCCCCTGAACACTAGAAATAAAAATATCTGACATTGGTTCAAAAGTGAGTGCATATATAGGCAATCAACAAAGAGGAGAGGGGCAATTAAGAAATCGATATATTCAGTTAAGAGAGGAAATAAAAAAGGGAATTAGAAAAAGCAACAAGAGATTATGATGTTAAAGTTGCAAAAGAATCGAAGACTAACAAAAGGATTTTTCAGGTAATACAGAAAGTAAGATCAGGGACAAGATAGGCCCCCCCCCCCCACCCAAAGTTCCTGGAGGTCAGCTCACTGGACAGTGGATAGGAAATGTGTAGAATTTTTAACACATACTTCCTCTCAGTTTTTTACACAGGAGTTGATACCAGGCGATATCCGTAATGATAATTATGTAGAACAGGACGATAATAAACTGGCACTATTAGGGTCACAAGGACATTTAGGTCCTTAGGCAAATAGATTAAATTAAAACTAACAAATCCAGGCCCTGATTGAACTGTATGCAAGGGTTCTAAAGAGAATGTAAAGAGGACTTAGCACACCTTTGGCTAATCTTTTCAACATATCACTACAAACTCGGCATGTGACAGATAAGTGGGAAAATGGCAAATGTGATACCTATTTTCAAAACAGTTGACAGGTCCTTAGCTTCGAAACTATAGAACCATAAGACTAACCTCATAGTGGGAAATTTACGGAATCAATAATTGCCGAGGCAGTTCGTAGCCATCTTCTTGAAAAGCTTAAATTGATCAACGAATCTCGCATGTTTTTACAAGGGGCGTTCCTGCCTTACGCATTTTATTAAACTTTTTTCACTAAATGTATTTGAGGAGGTAGATCATGATAATGAATATGAAGTGTGTATATGGACTTCAGTAAGGCTTTTGACAGGGTCCCACATCTGAGGACTATTGAGGAAAATTAAAGGCACATGAATAGGAGGAGAAATTTTTTCTGGTAGAGGCATGGTTGACAAATAGGCAGCAGAGAGTTTGCATAAATGGGGAGAAATTCAGAGTGGGAAGCGTCACGTAGCGTGTGTTCCACAGGGTCAGTGTTGGGCCCCACTGCTGTTCATATCTACATAAAACGCATAGATTGAGTGCATAAAGAGCGACATCGGCAAGTTTGCCAGATGACACCAAATATAGGCCGCCCCCCCCATCCCCCCTTCGAATTCATTCTGACGAGGCAGATTTGAGCACTCAGGGAAGATTTGAAGTTTGACTGATGCATGGTCGGAGAAGTGGCAGATGCAGCAGTTTAATATAGACAATGAAAGTTTAAATGTTGGACAGGATAATAACCATGCATATATAAACTAAATAATGTAGATCTTAATATTCGGTATTGCGTTAAAAGATTTAGGAGTTCTGGTAAGCAGTAAATCTGAAACCAAGAAAAAACAGTGCATAAGTGTTCGCCAATAAAGCTAATGAATCCTTGGCTTCATAGATCAAGATCATAAATAATAGGGAGTCTCAGGTTTGTTCTTCACTCTATACAGCCTTGGTTAGGCCTCATTTAAGATTATGCTGCCACAGTTTTGGTCACCGTATTACAGAATGGATATAAATTCTCTGGAAAAATGTAAGTGGAGGATGACAAAAGGATGATCCCATGTATCAGAAACCTTCCCTATGAGGATAGACTAAGGGCCCTGAATCTGCACTCTCTAGAAAGACGTAGAATAGGGGGATATGATGAGTGTTTATAAGTGGAAAGACAGGATAAATAAAGGGGAAGTAAATAGTGTGCTGAAATATCTAGCCTAGACTAGGCTCGCAGCAATGGTTTTAAGTTGAAAAAATTCAGATTCAGGAAGGATTATGGAAAGTACTGGTTTGGTAATAGGAGTTGTGGGATGAGAGGAACAAACTCCCTAAGTTACCGTTATAGAGGCCAGAACGTTGTGTAGCTTTTAATATAGGTTGGATAAAATACATGGTAGATGTGGTGGGTGTGAGTTAGACCTGATTAGCTTGTGCTACCAGGACGGTTGCGTGGTTCCTCCCTTAAGGGTCAATGTGACCTTGACCTGGACTAGGTTGGGTGCATTGGCTTTAAGGCCGGTAGGAGACTTGGACCTGCCCCTAGCATGGCAGTAGGCCTTCTGCAGTGTTCCTTTCGTTTCTTTATGTATGCCGTATTCTATTCAAGTTGATGGGGATGTACCACATCGACTCAAGTTGAGGGGACTGATTACTCATTCTCTCCTGTCCTTAAAGCATTCTCCCTTTGTCTATGGACTGATGAAAGCCAATGTTGTGGCGAAACGTTTTCCTCAATAAGATACCCAAGAGTTGCACATGTGTCTAATTTATCAGCCACCCGTTTGATTGACCAGGGTAAATCACCAGACGAGCCTGGCCCTGGACCGGGCTCAGGAGAATCGCCGAGACATCCGAAATCTCAAAAGTAAGGTAAAATAGGAGAAAAACTATGACAATGTCCAGACTAAGACCATTAAATGGCAAGGCTAGTTAATGGCTGAAGCTGGACTAAAAGTTATCATAAGCTTCTTTCTCCTTATGTGTGGGTTATCAGTGTACCTTTTATTATACAGCAATAATGGAGTAGAAGAGATGACCTGAACATATTAAGGTCAGTCTTAGCATTTACTGCCAATTCAGGAAGATAACTAAAAGGTAATATATACTGTACATATTACGCTAACGTATATTGAAGAATATTCATGTGGATATTACAAGAGTTAAAAAGTTCATAATAAATAAAAGCTACATTATTTATTATTATAATCAAGGGGGAAGCGCTAAACCCGGAGGATTATACAGCGCCTGGGGTGGGGGGCCTATGTGGGCCACGGCATTTCAGGCTCCGATTCGGGGATCTGGAGCACAGATCCAATCCCTAAATCAAGAGCCCTGACAACATCAAGGAAACTTCCTTGAGGGGAAATAAGCTACAGGAAAAAAAAGGGGGGGGAAGGAAAAGCGATATATGGTTAAAATGTGCCACCTATTAAGTTTATTTAATGTTTAAGTAAGCTGCCTAGTTTATCCCTATTATATCCTTCTACTGTAATTGATATCATGCAGTTACTCAATTTATTTTTATTGTTACAAGTATTACTGACTTGTGGAATAATTAGGCTGCTATTAGTAAGTTTATATGGACACAAGTACATAAGTACAATTATAAGTAAATTATTGGAATAACCAAAACAAAATCACTAGTATTGTTTAGTCCCAGCCAAGAGTATTATAAATCATAATATTTTAATAACAAATTAACACTGTGCGACACTTGGGTATCATTGAGGAACGTTTCGCCCCTCGTGGCTGCTTCAGTCGGCAGTAACGTTTCCTCTTCATAGACCTCATCTGTAAAGCAAATGTAGTTTCTTCCCCCATATTTTGTGGGTATTACCACACCATTGTTCAGGTCAACAAGACAATGTTCTCCCACACCCCCGCCACCCACATTATTATATATAAAATTAATATATAAAAGTTATATGGCAACTCAATATCCCCCCCCCCCAAAAAAAAAAAAAAAATCCAATGGGGGTTCACATCACATTAATTTTAAGTTCACACTAATGTAAATTTACAAGTATATTTATTAATTTCACTCAATAATCTGAACTAGGCGCTAAAACGAATTAAAATTTAAATTTTTTTTTTCAGTGCTGCCATAACGTGCGCTTTAATATAATTCTTTGGTAAGTGATGCTGTTAATTGTGTAGGCCTAGTGGAAGTCAGTAGGCAGGTGTAATATAGTGAAAAAAAATAGAGGCTTCACTACACTTATAAAAAAAAAATTAAAAGGGTTTAAGTTTAAGTGGCAGCTCTGAGAGGTCAACTGTCTCTCAACCCACACGTGACTCAACCTTGTTTGAACCATTCAACCATTTAATACACACATTTCCCTTTTTGCTAAACACCATCCCCCCCATAACACAACAAAAAAACGGGAGACGAAGGCGACTCTTACGTACAACCTTTACAAAAAAAAAACATGGTCCTGGATGTAGAGTAGAGAGGAGCGAGGGCAGCAGACTCACTCAGTCATGGCCTGAGCGTCAATAACACTACGATCAAACCTGAGCTCATGACCGCCACCAGTCAACTAGTACCACAACTATCACTGTCTCACCTGTATCCTCCACCAGCACACACTCTACAACACCTTCCACTCACTAACTACCCAATAATAACCTACCACAAACTACTCTCAACACAGAGATAAAGATGCGTAATATCTGTGACTTTTGCATACAACACATTCAAAACAAATCAAAGTCTTGTGATTGGCTGAGAAGAATATTGCTCTGGAGATCTGGGCTGTGATTGGCTGGGTTATGAGAGGCTGTGGCTGCCATTGGTCAGAGCTGCAGGACGCCACGCTGACGCTGTATCCTTCACTAACTTTGCTCAAGTTTCTCACTTTTATTGTGTTATTTGTGCCTTCCTTGGTAAGTTTGATCCAGCAGGAAGGAGGTGACCTTGCCGTGTGGGAGTGTGGCAGTCCAGGACAGCCAGGAGGGCGTGGACTCACCCAGGTAGTGCCACAACTCGGGGTTTATAAGCAGGAACCGTTTCAACCACACTAACGTTGTGATGTCTTTTAAATGTCCACATTTATATTGTCCTCCCCATTATTATTACTCCATTATACCCCACATTATTATTATCCATTATTATTATTTACACCCACCATTATTATTGCTACATTATTATTTACCCCCCATTATTATTACTCCATTATTATTATTACCCCACCATTATTATTACTCCATTATTATTATTACCCCACCATTATTATTACTCCTTATTCTTATTACCCACCATTACTTATTACTCCCATTATTAATTTATACCCCACCATTATTATTACTCCATTATTATTTATTACCCACCATTATTATTACTAATTATTATTATTACACCACCTTATTATTACTCCATTATTATTATTACCCCACCATATTGTTACCCATTTTTATTATTACCCCACCATTATTATTATCTCCATTATTATTATTACCCACCATTATTATTATCATTTTATTATTACCCACCATTATTATTACTCCATTATTATTATTACCCCACCATTATTATTACCCCTTTATTATTACTCCATTATTATTACCCCACCATTATTATTACCCCACATTTTTTATACTACATTATTATTACCCCACCATTATTATCACTCCACCATTTATTATCACTCTTATTATCACCACCGTTATTATCACTCCACAATTATTATCACTCCAATATTATCACCATTATTATCACTCCACCATTATTATCACTCCATTATTATTATCACTCCATTATTTATTCACTCCACCATTATTATCACCACCATTATTATCACTCCACCTTATTTCACTCCATTATTATCACTCCACCATTATTATCACCACCATTATTATCACTCCACCATTATTATCACTCCATTATTATCACTCCACCATTATTATCACCACCATTATTATCACTCCACCATTATTATCACCACCATTATTATCACTGCACCATTATTATCACCACCATTATTATTCACTCCTCAATTATTATCACCACCATTATTATCACTTCCACCATTATTATCTCCACATTATTATCACTCCACAATTATTTATCACCCATTTTCTCACTTACCATTATTATCACCACCATTATAAAACTATCCTCCACATATTATCACCACCATTATTATCACTCCACCATTATTATCACCACCATTATTATTCACTACCATTATTTATCACTTCCACCATTTTTATCACCACCATTATTATCACTACCATATTATCACCACCCATTATTATCACCCACCATTATTATCACCACATTATTATCACACATTATTATCACTCCACCATTATTATCACACCATTATTATCACTACCATTATTATCACCACCATTATTATCACTACCATTATTATCACCACCATTATTATCACTCCACCATTATTATCACCACCATTATTATCACTACACCATTATTATCTCCACATTTATTATCACTCCACCATTATTGTCACACACATTATTATCACTACCATTATTATCACTCCATATTATCACTCCATCATTTATTAAGATAATGATAGATACTTTCGTTTCGGATTTTTAACCCCGGGAGGGTTAGGCCACTCAGGATAACCAGAAAGATCAGTGGACCATCGAGGACTGTTAACTTATTTCCATTGTGCGGTCCTTAATCTTGTCCCCCAGGATGCGACCCACACCAGTCGACTAACACCCCAGGTACCTATTTGCTGCTAGGTGAAACAGGGACAACAGGTGTAAGGAAAGTGTCGAATGTTTCCACCCGCGGGAAATCGACCCGGGCCCTCCGGTGTGTGAAGCGGGAGCTTTACAACCAGGCCCCGGGCCACAATATTATTATTATCTCCTCCTTATTATCACTCCTACCATTATTATCACTACCATTTTTATCACTCCACCAGTATTATCACTCCATTATTATCACTCCATCTTTATTATCACTACCTTTTTATCTCGACCTTTGTTTATCACTACACCCATATCACTCCCCATTTGATCAATCACAATTTGTTCACTACCATTATTATCACTCCCAAAAATTATAAATCCATCATTATTATCACTACCATTATTACACTACCATTTTTATCACTCCAATTTTATCTAGCCATTCATTATTATCACTCCAATTATTATCACTACCATTATTATCAAATCCTTTATTATCACTACATTTTTATCTCTCATTATTATCACTACCATTATTATCACCTCCATTATTGTCACTCCATTATTATCACTTCATTATCACCACATTTATTTTCATCACTCAAATTATTAGCCCACCATTATTATCACTCCTTTATGTTCACACCATTATTATCACCACCATTATTATCAATAAGTGATGTTCACCATCTTGTTTATCACTCCTGTATGTATCCACTCTCCATGTGGTTCAACCTCCATTATTATCACTACCATTATTATCATCACCATTATTGTCACTCCATTTTATTATCACTATTTTTAATCACCATTATTATCACTCAATTATTATCACCACATTATTATCACTCCATTATTATCACCTTTATTATCACTCAATTATTATCACCACCATTATTGTCACTCCATTATTATCACTCCATTATCACCACCATTATTATCACTCAATTATTATCACCACCATTATTATCACTCCATTATTATCACTACCATTATTATCACCACCATTATTATCACTCAATTATTATCACCATCATTATTATCACTCCATTATTATCACTACCATTATTATCACCACCATTATTATCACTACCATTATTATCACCACCATTATTGTCACTCCATTATTATCACTCCATTATTATCACCATTATTATCACTCAATTATTATCACCACCATTATTATCACCACCATTATTATCACTCCACCATTATTATCACTCCATTATTATCACTCATTTATTATCGGCTTCACCATTTATCATCACTCCATTATTATCATCCATTTTTTTTCACTCCATTATTATCACTCCATTATTGCTCCACCATTATTATCACCACCATTATTATCATTCCATTATTATCACTCCACCATTATTATCACCATTATTATCACCACCATTATTTCACACCATTATTATCACTCCACCATATTACTCCATATTATCGCTCCACATTATTATCACTCCACCTTATCACTCCCATTATTATCACTCCATTATTTATCACCATTATTTCACTCCCATTACACTCCACCATTATTATCACCACCATTATTATTCATCACCATTATTATCACTCATTATTATCATTCCATTATTATCGCTCCACCATTATTATCACTCCATTATTATCGCTCCACCATTATTATCACTCCATTATTATCACTCCACCATTTTTATCACTCAGCCATTATTATATATACTCCACCATATTATACTCCATTATTATCACTCCACCATTATTATACTCCATTATTATCCCACCATTATCACTCACCATTATTATCACCACCAATTTATCACACCATTATTATCACCACCATTTTATCACCACCATTTTATCACCACCATTATTATCACCACCTTATTATCACCACCATTATTATACTCCACCATTATTCTCACTCACCATAATTATCCCTCCATTATTATCACTCCATAATTATCACACCATTATATCACTTCCCCATTAATAACACTCCACCATTATTATCACTCCACCATTGTAATCATCCATTATATATCGCTCCACCATTATTACACCCTCCACCCTTATTATCACTCCACCATTATTATCACTCCACCATTATTATCACTCCAATATTTATCGCTCCACCCATTATTATCACTCCATTATTATCGCTCCCACCATTATTTATCACTCCATTTTATTCACTCCCACCATTACTATCAACTCCACATTATTATCACTCCATTATTATCCCGCTCACCATTATTATCACTCACCACCATAGTTATCACTCCACCTTATTATCACTCCCCATTATTATCGCACTCCACCATTATTAATCACTCCACCATTATTAATCACTCCACCATTATTATCACCATTTATTATTCACTCCACCATTTTTATCACTCCATATTATCACTCACCATTATTATCATCCCATTATTATCACTCCACCATTATTATCACTCCACCATTATTATCACTCCATTATTATCGCTCCACCATTATTATCACTCCATTTTTTTCGCTCCACCATTATTATCACTCCATTATTATCACTCCATTATTATACTCCACCGTTATTTATCACCATTATTATCACATATTACTCCATTATTATCACTCCATTATTATCACTCCACCATTATTATTACTCCACCATTATCACTCCATTATTATCACTCCATTATTATCATTCACATTATCATCACCATTTATTATCATTATTCATCACCACATTATCCACCATTTATTATCACCACATTATTATCATCCCACATTATTATCACTCCACCAATATTATCACTCCATTATTATCACCATATTATCACTCCACCATTTTTTCACTCCTTATTATCACTCCATTTTGCACCCCAAACACCCCTTATTAACTACTCACCCACCATTATTATCACACCATTATTCTCACCCATTATTACACTCCCATTATTACTCCATTATCACTCCATTATTATCGCTCCTCCATTATTATATTCCATTATTATCGCTATACCATTATTATCGCTCCACCATTATTATCACTCCATTTTTATCACCATTATTATCACTCCACCATTATATCACTCCACCATATTAGCTCCCACCATTCTTTATCACCACCATTATCACCACCTTATTATCACCATTATTGCTCCACCAATATTATCACACCATTATTATCACTCCATTATTATCACCACCATTATTATCACCACCATTCTTATCACCACTTTTATTATCACTCCACCTTATTATCATTCCATCATATTATCCATCCACAATATTATTAATCCCCTATTATCGCTCCACCATTATATCACACCATT